GAGTGGGCGAGACCCACGACCTATCAGAAAGTACTTTTAAAACCGAACTCAAGTTGTGCACGGACTGCGTGCGGTGGTGGCAGGTCCACAAAAAGGGGTTTTGTCAAGGATGCAATTTTGTTGGGATGGCCACATTTCCTCAACTTTTTGAGTTGGTCATCTAAATGACAAAATGTCCACTCAGTTATTTTAGATCGTTGTCAAGATAAGGCCTACAGCTCTTCGACATGCAATTCACACCATTGTGCGTTTTAAAATCTGATAATAATCCTAACACTATCCTTTATACACGTAGACACCACACACTGTCCAGCAAGTCAAGTCTTTACATAAGCCCTCACTGTTAGCGAACACATTTGGTCTGGATCTGCTGTGTACCACGTTTGGGCTATAATCTACCCGCTTTTAGAACGTTTGTTGGCACGACGAACTAGGACTTGACAGGAATAATGATCGCACATTAACAACTACAAAGTAATACATTCCTTTGTATTTAGCCTGTAGGCGAAGTTTCACGATAAGCATCGACTTGCTGATTGTAAAGGAGCCGAGCGTAATAATCAGTCGGTCTTCTTCCTTGCCGATTTGACTACTGCTCACTTCTGTATCCTGCGGTCAACAATCGCTTGAGAAAGGAAGAGTCGGTTTGGCAAAATGTTGGCATCGGAGCATCGTAACATCACCACAGCGAGATTTACCAGCCAGGCTGCTCGTCACCACTGTGGATTAAACTTTGGCAGTATTTCAAGGATAACGCAGCAAGATAAAAAAAAAACACAAAGCTGCAAATACGTGTTCAGTCACCACCACCATCGAGGGTAGTGGGAGGCACCGGCAAATCAGAAAGAGGTGACAACTGCCCCCCCCCACGCCCTCGTTATTTGATCTTTGGAAGGCCACGCTTAAAATAGGGTCCCCCTTTCTTGTGTAGTAATTTCTGCGTTTCCACGTCTGTTCGGTCACCAGCGATTCGGTCTTTTGAAATGCAAACCATCCACAGTGGTTTTAACAAGAACGATTTGACAAATGGCGTCCGGACGAGCAATGAATGGGGCCCTTCGGTGTGGAGGTGGGGGGGGCGACAGCTGTTGAGCTCCATCACGTGACAGCCCCCCCCTTCTCCCCACCCAACCTCAGCGCCCAACCTCAGCGCACGCGGTCACGCACCGACGCGGTGGCGGCCCACGGTATAAATAATTCACTCTGGGTCCCGACGTCTCCAGCCCTGCTGGGAAATCAGCAGCTGCCTTTGGCATTATGCAGGACAGTATTTATAAAGTCGCACTGGATGGCAACAGTGTCTCTCGCCAGTACGGGTGTGCGAGTGCGTGCACTGCCGCTATACGCTACAAATGCAATTTGCCAGGTCGAGGAAACGATGCGAGGTTTCCACTTTGGTGAGCTTAAGAAATGAATACGACCGCGTTTGGTTTCTGCGGTTGTGCCGTAAAGCCCCCCCCCCCCCCCCGTGTCTCTGGTCGTGCTGCCGTGTTGGTGTTCGGCACGATGTCTGACGTTTCGCTCCACGTGCCAGGAGCTTTTTCAGAAGCTCCCGAAAAACCTCGCACGTAGTGCAGAACACACGTGACACGACCAGAAAACACACTGAGGAGCTTTAGAAGATAAATAATTTGGTTCGACAAGAAATGTAAACAGGGGCGGATCTGTCAGTCACCGAGAGGAAAGGCAGACCTCAATGTGTGCAGGATGACATTCTTCAGGAAGGAGCATGGTTTAGAGTCTTAAATGATGGAGACTAACCCTCTACATCTTCTGAGGATGGCCAGTGGGCCGAAATACTTTCATTTCCTGCCAATATGAAACTGCACAATCGCGTTTTTATATTGTTGCACAATAGCAGCAATCATCCTCCAAGTCATTCTGGTGTTAAGTTCATGACGAGATGTTCATACTTTAGAGTTGAAGGCAACGTAATTTGATATCTACAATTAATATGACAAGGGGCCCAACAGGCAACTGCTTTCAATAAAAGTACTCTAATAGTGTAAGTCTACTGGTTAGTACACGATTAATCAAAACCTTCCAATTTACTGGGTTATCGTTGAAGCAAAATTACGCTTCGTTGGGCCTGACTAGGATGTGAACATAAGTGTCGTTTCAGCTCGAGTCTCTTATGCAGCGAGAGGAAGACTCTCGTAACCGTAATGGAGCCCTGTACTAATGCTCAACGTGGCTTTACACGAAACACTAACAATCGTCAGTGTTTTTTGAGCAATTCCCTTAAACTAGACTATTACATTTTTTGACCAAATAAGGCCCATCGAGCTATATAGCTCTTTTTTTAGAAGAGACCTGGCCACAAATGATAGCTCAACGAAGAGGCTCAGCACGTGGAAATGTATAGCAGCCAAATACACTCAAGATGCACGTTGATTCTAAAAAGGGAGGGAAAACACTGGAGGAACCCAGAGAAATATCCACGTGACCACGGTGAGAGACACGCAAACCAGGCGAAGTAGTTAACAGTGGCACCCCCCCCCCCCCCCATAATACAGGCTGATTACTCGTGCAAACGATAGCACTCTGAAAAACACCAAGCGAACATTCACATAGAAACCCATGAGCAATGGCTCCACGATGGCGAGCGTCTTGTGTCGCTAGGATCGCCACGAGGTTTTTCTTCTTACGGGGGACAACCAGTCTGCACAATCGGTGAACGACGATCGGCAATTTGCTGGAGGGGGGGGGGGGGAATTTGAATCAAACACCTGAGGGAGGCTAAAAAAAAAAATCGCCAAACCGATTGCTCCACTCAAAAAACGTCCACGTTATTCCGCACGTAGCTAACGCCCGCTCCGTCCGGAAAAGGACAAAAAAATTACTTTGACCGGTCATGGAGAGAGGATTGTGGGAGGCGTGGAGGAGAAGAGGGATGGATAATATAAAAAGACAAAAGTTATTGATTTTAAAACACCATGTCACATGCAGTACAGACGTAACCACCGCACACAGAGCGCACGCGCGCACACACACAGTGGCAGTAAATAACTAAGAGAGGCAACACAAATTGGCGGAGAGAATGAGACACCGAACTCACCAAAAGCTACCACACTGCTACGAAAGGCTTTTTTTAAGTTAGTGCACACAAAACGAAAACAAAACACAGATATTAAAAGATAGATATAAGAAGCTATGTAATTTTAAAAAACACCACTTCAAGCTATTTGTACAGCACAGCAAAAAATACAGACCAACATGCAACATACTTTTGGCATTGCCTGAGGACCTCTGTCTAGGCGCCCTACTGTGCAGCTGACTGTAGCTCATCTCAATGCAGAGGCTCTTATCTTATCTCTAAGTGCTGCCTGTTAGGTCGGATAGATGCACACAGAGACACGGACACACGCACACAGACACGCACAGGACACACACGCGCGTGCCAGACCACAGAACATTGCTTCACTTTGGAGACGCGACCCAAAGTGGTCAAAGCGCTTTGTTGAGCAGCAGCACGTGTGGGAAAGAGGCTCAGGATGCTAAACGTCCACCACAGAGAATGCACGTCACGTTCACCAATTATGGCTGCAAGCACCGAGGCATGCAGGCATTTGCCCCCCCCGCACCCCCCCTTTCAGAAGCCGGTCTTTACACGAGTCTGTAATCTGGCTTAGCGAGGGTACTGTACACGATGCGCGTGCAACAGGGCGGCAGTGGCGGCGTAGAAGAGCGCTCCAGCCACAAGTAGGTCACGAGTTGAAATTAAATCCTGGATCGACAGTCCAGGGCCCCATCATCCCTCCGGAGGCAGGGAGACAAAATCGGGTACCGGGTAGTGGGAAGTTGATTGTTGTCTTACAAAAAGATTGGCTTCTTGCCATGGAAATGTGGAATTTCCACCGCTTACTAAGCGACGGCAAATGGAGCGTGCAGCCGGAAGGTGCACTTTTGATTCTTACAGCGAAGCATGGCACGAGAGACAAAAATAAATACACTTGTGTCCACTCGTCAACAACATGGTGGGGCGTGGACGTCAATTTTCTTTCAACTTGACGGGTTCAGGAGCAATTTCAGAAACCGATTCACTCGGCGATTTTCCTCATTGTTGGAGACGTTTTTATCAAAAATAGAACCAACGCGACAAGCGAGCGCACTTGACGAGGGCCATGCGGCTGGGAGAGGCCGCAGCTCGCCGTGGATGACTCGCTCGCGAGGGGACGGCCTCGGGCCCCGGGGGGGGGTTCGAGCTCCCCGGGGGGGGGGGTTCGAGCTCCCCGGGGCAACGATCGTCATCGTGATGATGGTGGGTCGCCATTCCAGCCACTCCAATTTCGCCATCTTCACTCCTCTCTCTGCGGATTCCCTCTAAGTGCTCGACTTTGGGATTGCCTCCCATTGTCTCTTCTCCCAAGTTCTTATAACCCTCGGTAATTTAGTTTTTGTAGACACGTCAACTTGTGCCGTTTGCTGCTGGCCACACTTGCCATTTTTGGGCCTTTGTGCATGTACTCAGCAAATCCTGACGTAAACAATCACCACGGGGCCTAAGAGGCATGCAATCGGGCCTTGAGGGCCAGCGTGTCAAATCCTGTCGTGACGTTTAGCATCCGAAACCTCCTTGCAAAAAAATTGTAAAATCGTAGGCCGTGGAACTTTCCATTAAATAAAACTCATCGTTTTATACGTACATAAAAACACATATTTTAGGCAATTTTAAAAACACAAAACTAAATTTTGCACCTGCAGACAATTGTAATGACGGTTTGCAAATATATTTATTGGCAACAACGTAAGGAAATGCTGCGGAGGGCCGACAGCACCGGTAGAAATTTGATCTTACACAAACGTTAAACAACTCCGTGTGTGCGCAAGCTGTTGGGAGAACACGGGCTCATTCGCGAAGGGACATTTAACGTCCGGTGGGGGCTACAAAATGAATACGAGGAAAGCACAGGGTTCATAGACAGCTGGGCCGCACTCTGCATTCTCTTTACAGCTGTACAACGAAGCCGGCGTCGGGCGTCGTACATGTGCACGCTTACCCATACGGTCTTTGAATAAACGTCGGCTGAATTTGCTGAACACCAAACGCAAAGCCTGCAACGAAAAAAAGACACAAAAACGCATGAAGCACGGCTGTCGCACATTTTCTCCACATCGATATTCATTCAACCTCTCACCTTATCATTCTACAGCACTGCAGTGGCAAAGGTGCAGCCCTGGAAGTGCCTGATCACGCCACTGCTGGCAGAAGCGCCTCCCCTCGTAGACCGAGGGTCTTGCAGGAGTGCCCACATTTCACCCCTACCAAACACAACCCTTCCATGGAGAACCCAGCGATGTTTCTAGGTGAACAGGGAGGGTGGGGGTGGGGGATATTGAAGAAACCTGCCCCATTATCTCAACTTCTGCGTCTGCCAGGAGACGAAGCCAGCCACCTCTGGATTTCAAGCCCATTTTGCTAACCAATCCACCACAGCACCATGCACGCGTACACGTATGCACACATGTGCATACGCGTACATTAGAGATTCAGACTGTTGGGAAAGGTACAGCTCGCGAGCCCCAAAAACACTTGCACGCATACATAATTGTTGCCCATCTCTAGTAAATTCTCCTCCACAAAATCCACAGACCACTCCAATTACAGGTTTCCAGTACTGCCACCACCACCATCATTAATAATAAACACTCCCAAGTGTAATAACGAGGCCGGGACCTCTCCCACAAAGACTGCCTGTGTGGTGGTGGTGGCGTGGGTGTGCGAGCGCTCACTCAGGGATCACAAGAGTTGAGCCTTCCAATTCAGAGCGGCGGCGAAAGCCAAACAAAAGCAAATTGGGCCGGGACGGGCGGGCTGCCAGCTGTTGCCTGCGAGGCACTCGACGGTTCAGGCACCGCACGCTACAACAGTGGACGCACACGGATGACGCGGCTGGGAAACATCTGCGGTTGTAGCCCTCAACACACAAGTGAAAAGCTTTCGAGCTTAAACCCCAGAGCGGTGTCCAACTCGGCGTTCCAAATTCATCAGAGGCAATGTCGACGCCGGCAGAATGTCCCCGGAGCGATACTGGCTCCACGGTATTAGGAAAGTGGGACATTGCTCATTTTCAGATTGTTGTACTGGATGACTTTGTTCAAGCGTCTACAACACGTGCGACCTTCGCAAGCCCGCATTGACCAGAGTGGTGAAGTACGGTCAAACAACCCCCACGGCGTGCGGAAGCCCCCCCCCCCCCCCCGCATCCAACAGTAGATTGAATATGCGCATGTTTGTTTCAGCAGGGGAATACTCTTAAGTGGCTACAGATGGCAGTACAATGACGGATTCTTGAATCTATCTTTGCGGCATTTTCAGCATTTCACCCTCAAGCTTGGGTTTTTTCAGAGTACTCTGGACTCCTCCGACATGCCAAATGCGTATTCATGGGATTGGAAAACACCCGAATACAGGAACATTCTGAGGAGGAGGCTCAATACTCGGCGAGACTTTCCTGGGTAAAAGGACACGAACACATTGAATAATGCCGATATTCCCGACCTCGTGGAGAAGCAGCAGAATATCAACGATGGATCAGACCGTGCGGCACCACCGTCGTGTCAAAACAGCCGTTGCACAATGGGGGCGTACAGTGGATGCGTTCTGGTGGGCACAGCACCGTCGCCACACTGTAACCAGCGGTTCACAAACTATCCTCGCGCCGCTCACGACGCACCGGGTTCAGCTATCAGAAATCATTTCTCCCGTCCACAACAGACGCTTCGAACTGCGCGTGTGGGAGAATCGAGCCATTTCGAATGACAGGAACAATGAGTAAAAGGGGACGCAATGGTTTTATATTTTGGTTAAATGGGATCAAAATAAAGAACTGAAAATGGGAGAAAATGCAAGTGAGAGAGCATAAAATGAAAAAAAAAATCGTATTAATTGCCGAATAGAACGGTGATCCTGAACGGTGCGTGACAGGTCATGGAATAACCAGAGGAAGGGGGAGCAGATTAATTAGCGGTGGGGCGTTTGTGGCCGTCATTGCAGAAGTTCGCGGTTCGGACCCACAACCTCCCCGGTTACTACTGCGAGTGTACGAACCGCAAATACCACGCGCTGTATGCGTCACAGTGAGCGTTAAAGATCCGTGACGTTATTCAAATTTTCTACATTTGACAAAAGAAAACACTACACGCTGCACTGCAGCACCCTCTTGGAGTCTTGAGACACGTCCGGAGGCTATCCCGAGTAAATAAATGTAGTCTTAAAATAATAATAATAATAATTACGTGGCTACAATTTATCGCGCAGGTGGCTAATGAGTGCTACACCGCAACGGCCGGCGAGGAGCTCCACGCACTTGGAGACGAAACCATTCAACAGCAGGGGTCACCTCTGAAGACAAATCGTCTCTTAGAAGGAGTGAGCAAAGATTACTACGCCACCCACAAGCGCGCAGTTGCATGCTAAGCGCATGGCACTGCTAGCTAGCCATCCCATTGCTCAGTCACAGCAGGCTTGTTAGAACACAGCGTGTTAACAGCAGGCGTATGGAATTCTGAAACAGCTGCTGTATTACAAGTCAAAGTGGTCACCGCTTGTGCTCATTCCACGGCCTGTGGTGAAAATTCCACATTTCTCTGGTGAGGACGAGTTCACCACTGTTCACTACCCCTCCACAACGCGGTGGCTCAGCATCGCGGTAATACACGGGCGGACTAAGAAGACTCAACACGGCCGATCGCTACCGTGGCCGTCCTGACGCTGCCTGGGGGAGTAACAACGGTGACGGCGATGCGGGTCCCGTCCACATTGCAACAGTAGGCCACAGCGTGTGTGCACGTCAGGTGCCCCCCATTTGCCAAATTCGAAATCTGCACTGCAGACGACTCAATTGGGATTATAGGCGACAATCGTCGCCCGCCTACTCGCAGACTTATGCCACCAGGTCCGCCTTGAAAATAGGACTATCCTGGTCTCCGCTGTTCTCGCCTCGTTAAACCGTACAACTTGAAACTAGAGATTTGTTGCTCCAGTTCGAAACATGTTCTTGCATTTGCCTTTGCTGAAATTCATCCACGAAAATGTGTGGCTGCTGTTAGTGTTGCACGAGACTTGGGGTTAATCATTTATTAACATTCTCTGTAGTAGAGCCATTAAAGTTATAGAAAATTTATGATAATGTTATGCAGCCTACAGTATCTCACGGCACAATTGTATTCATTATACCGTTTAGAAACCCACATTGTAATTGCAGCTGTGGAAATCCGTGATAATGATGCCGTTTTAAAATACATGGCCTAGTTTTTGTTATTTTCTAACACACACGTTGTATTGTGAACGGATATACAATTTTCAGACAGCCTTTCAGAGCAAGTCAAGCAATGCCGTTAACTCCCTAATTTTAAAAGTATAAATGTGTTGTTATTGCATTTTCGCCACACAAGTTACGCTAAATCCTGTATATTTTTTCAACAATCACTTTATTTCCCTTCCGAATTGCTTAAAGTCGAAATATCATGCTGCTCCGAAACCCAAAACGGTCCTTGTGCCCATTGGTGGGTGGCCCAAAGCCAGGTGGGGGAAATTCCACATTTCTAGGACGGAAACCAGTCTGTCCAAAGCACACTCATTGTAAACCTTCACCGTGTGGTACTCGTTTTAAAATCGACTGACCCCACGGCGATAATGGGCTGACTGGGCTGTGGGAGATTAAAAGGTAATTTGTTGTAAGCAAGGCACATCATGCAGTACAGCATGAGGTTACTTTGTAAAACACTTCACCCTGTCCTCACGTTCTGCCCTCTCTCTCACACTTGCAGTTTCCCTCTTTATTCCTCTGTAATCCTCCCTCCGAGATGGTTTTGTTTCACCTACACGGTCTTTTATACAGCGGGGACTCCGCACAACTACACACGACGGCCGTCAACACTGCATTTGAGTGCCGACAACATATACAAAGCAAGCTGACAAACAGTGTTAAAACAAAAACTCACAAGCACATCGGCCCACGATTCCATAATGTGTATATCAAAAAGACAAAGACGCCCCCCCCCCCCACCCATATAACCTTAACAAATTGTTGGGGCAAGTTCTGTTAGCGAGCAGCACCTATGAAGGCCGGCACGACACACGAGAGGGCGGGTGGCCAACACCACACCAGTGGCGATGTTGACACACCGCACCAGGTACTCATTTGGGGGGGGGGGGGGGGTGGGGGAGTCGACCTAGGGGAGACCCAGATCGCCAGGTTTATCGCGCAGCGCGCTAACCACTACTCCCCACACGGTATCTATTACACACTCACAGACGTGCACAAACTGTACATAATCAATACACAACCTGCTAATTAAAACGCCATCAATATGGTAACCCTTTGCGGCTAATGGACGGTAGGAATTTAGTTAAATGTTTGGTGAAATGATCATCTTGGAAGGAGTCGTATGGGGTGTAGGAATAATGGACGGTTGTAACTATTCAACCGTCGGTCGCACGCACACAAATTGTTTATGAAAAAAGTCTGATAAACATTGATGAGAGTAAACCGATTCTAACAATTTCTACGAATTGAGAAACTCGGCCAGAAAAGTGGATGCAGGTTGGAAACACAGAAAAATACACGCAAAATGTAACGTGATTTGCAAAGCATGATGGGGGATCCAATCCAATGGTTACAACCACCACACCTTTTGGTGTCTAAAATTATCTTGTGCCGCAGCATTACTCTGCCATCGGTGAGCTTCACCGATGTTAAATCAAAAGGTATCCCTGAACCAAACTAACCCTCACTGCTTCCAAGATTAGTAATAGCTACAACTCAAGTGTTTTAAATGCATAAATAGCAATTCATCTACTAACATCTATCTATTAAAATAGATAGATGTTAATGCATGTAAGAAACCATTTTTTTTAATTTGCGCAAATAGCATTCCAATTGCTCGTGTTGCGATTAGCAAAATGCAGTAAACAAAACCTGTACGGACAAGACACCAATTTGAGAAACAATATGATCGGCATGGTTAAAAATTGACAGAAATACGCAATTTATGAATCACATTGCAACTCTACAATGTGACAATTTATCAACCCTCTGGGGTAGGGGGTGGCGAGTCATTACATGCTCAATCGGAACAAAACACACACACGGCACACACACGCACGTGTCATGAAGCAGCCTTGTCCCTATGAATGTAAATGAAGTAGTGTCACTGGTTAAAATTTGCATTAACACACGAGAACCAAGTGCCAACACTCGCAGTTCAATGTAGTGGGGATCAGAACAACACAACACAGCTCAAAGACAAAGACCACCCCCCCTCCCCCATATAGCCTCAACAGGCTGTTTGGAGGCAAGTGCTGCTGTTAGCAAGCACCTGTTAAGGCCGGCATGGCACACGAGAGTGTGGGTGGCAAGCAACGTGCCCTGCCGCTTTTGTTTCCCCAGAGTTGAGGTTTTACACACCATCAAAGGTACTCAATTTGAGACCGAGTCGAGCTAGCAGAGATCCGGGACCGGTTCGGATACTCATCACCGATGTTAGCCGTGAGCTAGAAGCGAACTCGGGTGGCTGGAGTCGCAGCGCAGTGCGCCAACCACTGTGCCACCGCTCTTAGCTGGCGCTCACTCCAGCGTGCCATCACGCGTGGCTCCATCATTGCGATGTAACACCAATTTATTTATTGATCACAACCCATTTATTGATCACAATCGTAAGGGAAACGAAAACAGAGCCAGACAAGCGGCGCGGTCGCCGCATGGGGCTTCCGCAATGCTGAAGACGAGCACATCTGTGGTAAAGAGCTTCATAGCTCATAGGATTCCTCCAGTCTTAATACAAATTCTGATTGAGGGACCGCCGCGGTACAGAGTACCATCCTGCGCGCTCGTAGCCAGAGCGTCACCACGGCTACGATGGCGTCTGTGCCATTTGTTTTACGTGCGGGGGATGCCGATCGCGATTCTCGCGTGGTTGCACCTCGTTGTCCCTACCCTGCCCGTAGTCCAGCGCTGAGGAGGCAGCAGCAGCAGCGAGGGTTGGCGAGTCGCCGCATACGAATGTTGTCAAAAACTCCCTTCACGTGGGCGTCGAGGTGGTGACATACCCTGGCTCGCCAGAAGGCAGTATAGTAAATGGGACTAATCGCCATCCGTTTCCATCTGTATGGGGATAGAGTGCTGCCCCCTCCCCTGTATGCAGGTGGGTTTTGTCCGGGTGCGCGGTTTCCTCCCACATGTATAAACGCTCACTACACGAGCTGACAAACATCTTAAAAGAAAAACCCAATGCAGGATACTGCTGAAAGAGCGTACTAGGACTCAACGTAGCCTTCCTGGATACATTAGTAAAATTGTTATTTTCATTATTAGTACCTGGCTGGATGACCCTGGGCTTGGCCCCGATGTAGGCCAGGTTCACGTTGGCTTTGCGTCCGTCGATGATGGGGTTGGGGTCTTTACACGCGCGCTCTGCCGACGCCCTGTCTGCCATGGTTACCTGTCGCACGCAACAACACAAACCACGCGCGGCCGCACGCGCACACACGCCGATGACACCCCGCACGCAGCCACGCTCGTGCCGCAGCGCCGACCGCTCATTGTAACCCGGGCACAAAGGTCTAGAAGGCCAAGCGGCCAACAACAAACGGGTTTGCTGTCTAGCGTCCGATTTATAAGAATTTGGGAATGGAGTGTAATGTGTTCTGCTGGATGGAGCTCTTCATCGATGAAGCTTATTAAGCATCCATTGACAAATATGATTTAAAAAAATAACTCGCACAGACACTCAACTAGTGCGTATTATATCTACACATTTGTTTAGGTTTCTTTTTTTAAACTGGATGGATTTGAGTTTGTATTGTGAAGTGCTCTGGGATACCCAACATGAACAGCAGCGCTATAAAAGCGCATCTGCTACCCGAGCAGAGACAGCAGCGTTGAGATGTGGTTACATTTAGACACTTCACACATTCAATTTGCAGTATCTACAGTTGATACATCGCAGGACTCTTTACATAACAAACCATTGCAGCCAAAAACAGGACTCGCGACGATGATCCCCGTGGGGTAACATGAAAACATGATTTACACATCATTTACCCATGGCTCCCCACCAACTTTGCAAATCATCTATTGGCCAATGTGCCCACTGTTCCACATGACGATGCGTGAAGTTAACAGCTCTGTAAATTGGAGCCACCCGACTACGACACCGGGATATCATGGAACTTGTCAGACTGGTTATCAAATGCGAAACGTTCGCTTGCAAGCGGCAGGGAAAGATCACCCACCCCCTCACCCCAAACATTCGTTTGGTTCCGACAAATATGGCTTCAGCGGGCAACGCAACAACCCACCACCACAGAGCCTTGCTGCCGAGGCGGTGGCCAGGAGACGCGCACAGGCTGCCCTTGTGCCAGTGGGTTGCCATCCTGCCGCGGGGCCAGACCTGCGGCCACATCCTAATTGGCCAGGCACGTGTGGACGCACCTGGGAGGCCAGGTGGCAGCGGCACCTCGAGCCATTTAGACTTTACCCTCGCCCGCCGCCTCGCCCCACAGGCCAGACGAGGCCACCGGGCTCTCTGCATTATTTATACGCAATTTACAGCTCGACCCGAGAATCCACACACCGTTGCCTACACACCCCCCCAACCTCCACCTCGTTCCTCCTTCCTCGCGACAGCTGCAGGCAGAGTGTGTGTGTGTTTTTGTAAAGCACACACACACACACCTGTTTATACACTTTCGAGCTGCGGTGCGCGCGGCGTTACACAATGCGTGTCGTGTACAGCGCAGCAGCAGCCCCCATTAATCCCCCGTGTTGCTGATGGTGGCACACGAGCAGCATCGTGCACGCAGCTGACGCGCCCCACAAACAATAACCCCCCCCACCGCTCCATAGCTGGAGTCGCGTGCTAATCATATTTAAAAAAAGCCTGACCTTCAAAATAATACAAATTCTCATATGACTTCCACCGATATGGTGTGTTGCTAAACAGGCGGTATAATACGGTCTCTTTCACATTTGTATATATGAAAGCTTAATGCATTTGTCAATAGCAAAAGAATAAAAGCCTCGCACAACTTTAATCGCCCCACTACAAACTGGCTGATTGTTGTAGACTGATGAAACAACAATTGTAACAACTGAGAAGCAAGACCTCGGATGAGTTGATGGCATCATGGGCTCTGGCCTGGTTACAAGTGAAGGAGTTGAGCCAGGGATCAGATGACATTTAGCAGTGACAATGTCCAATATTCTGTCATGCGTGGTCGATTTTAGAAGTCCAGGTTTACAGCTTTGCGTGGTGACGCACGCCTGCAGTTCAGCACTTTGGAGTAAGGGTTGATGGATTGCACCGAGATTTATGATGTTTACGAAACACCACCCCACCAGCAGGTTCGAGAAACATCCTGCATAAAGACAGTACAGCAAGTATGTTGTTCCTGACCTACGTGTGAATATTGAGTACACTAATCTCGTATGCCCAATGCAATTCACTGCTGGATGAGGGGCTCCCTTGCACCATGTACACCACGAGTTACTTCACGCTGGTCAATTAATGTGGGATCACAGACATGTACAGTCCAACAATGGATTTTTGGCTGCGCTGCCCACTGGATATCCCTGCAAGCCCTAGCCAGGCTCAGCCTGCTTCGCTTACGAGATGTAATACATCCCCCGGGTGATTTTGGTCACAGGAAATGTGTAAGTTAATATGGCATGGCGAAATGTCCCACTTTAAAAACCATGACGTTCGAGTGGATATACACAGAAATACACAGAGTAGTTGTGTGTGTGGTGTGCTTGCGAAGAGCGTCGTCTGGTCATGCTAATCCCGGTAACTTTGTAGGAAAGATGAGAATTCGGGTTTTGTTTTTAGATCTCATTCAGAGGCTCCCAGCCCCCCTCAACCCTCGTTCTAGGAGCTCTCTCCTCAGCAGCCGACACATCAATGGCCACAAACAACAACAGCAGCAGCAGTTTAGTCGCAGCCGTAACAGTTGGGCCCACCTAAGAGCTTTAGTAGCGAGAGCAACAGCTGGTATAAGCAGCGTCATCAGTAAGCGTGTGCTATATATAACAAGCAGTAACAGTTGTTATAAGGATAGAGCAGTCCCTGCCATAGTGACGTGGAATTGTCGCAACTGGCAGAGAACGGGAGATGAGTGCCAATGCCTTGACGTCTCCTTTGAGCAGGAACTCGCTTTTAGAAGCAGGAGTACAAGCGGGGAGATGCACAGTAAGAGCAGCAAGTGCAAGGGCAGCAGCAGCAGGTGAAGTAAAATCAGAAAGGGCAGCAGCAGCACCAGCAGGAGGGACCACAGTGTTGACTCGGTAAAGGATCAGCAGCAGTAAGGGCAAGTGACATGGGTAACAGCAGCATCGGTAGCAAGTTTGGAGTAGAAATGGCACCAATATCAACAAGGGCAGCAGTCATAAGAGCAGCAAGGTACGCATGAGTAAGAGCACTAACAGCTAGCTATACCATCAGCAAGATCAGCAATAAAAGCAGTAACATCAGAAGGAGCAGCAACAGTAAGAAGGGCAGTTCTCGTAGTAAATGTATGGATATCAGCAGCAACACAACACTGGCATCAGTCACAGCAGCAGAAACCCGAGCATCAGCACCATCAGCGGAAAGAGCAGCCGCATCATCATCAGTAGCTACATCGGAAAGACAAAAAGCAACTTCATCATCACCAACATCAGCAGCAGCATCATCATCAGTAGCTACATCGGAAAGACAAAAAGCAACTTCATCATCACCAACATTAGCAGCAGCAGCATCATCATCATTAGCGCTACCATCACGAGCGAGTTTATTAACCTGGATCTGTGGGACTGCCTGCAATGAATGATGTCCTGGCCTCTATAAGTAACATTACACTATGTAACACGATGTAACACGATGTTTGTTCCTGGGTATTATGTGTTATGTTTTAATTGCTTATGCCTCAAGTATAGAAAATGGCTATTATTCCCCACAAACTTTGCTTTTGTGACCAGGAATTTACGTGAAGGAATTACACAAATGCACACCACGTTTCTCATTGAAAATAGGCACATTTCTAAATCTCACTGTCCTGGTCACAAAAGCAAAGTTTGTGGGGAATAATAGCCAGTTTATGTACTTGAGGCATAAGCAATTGCAAAATAACACTTACTACCCAGGAACAAAAATATGTTTTCGTTACACAGTGAATAATCATTATCTTAATCAGCAGCAGGGCTATCATCATCAGCAGCTACTTGCAAATCCGTATTGCAGGCACCCCCCCGCCTGTCCGTCCGTGATTAATAACACCCGGAACTTTCATCACCACCACCAACCACCATCAATCATCATCAGCAGCAACAAGATCAATATGGTACTAGTATTGGTAAGCGCCATTCTATGCATCATTAACAGCAGCAACAGTAACACTAACAACCTCACCACCACCACAATCACCACGATCCATCACCACCACAATCACAGGCATGATCACAATCATCAGCAGCATCACCACTTACAAATACCGTACACATCTACAATTGGTAACACCAGAAAGTTCACCGACAGTAGCACAATAACCTCACCACCATCACCATCACCACCATGACCACCACCACCATCACCACTACCACCACGGCCATCACCACGACCACCATCACCACGACCACCATCACCACGACCATCACCACCACGAGGGACTTACGAATCCGTATCCCCGGGACTTTCCCGACTGCCGGTCCGTGATGACCACGGCCTCGTCGATGTCCCCGAACGCCTCGAAGAAGGCGCGCAGGGACGCGTCCGTGGTGTGGTAGGGCAGCCCGCCCACGAAGATCTTGGTGAAGGTGGTGTCCTTCTGCATGCTGAGCATGGCCTGCAGCCCCCCTCCTGCTCCTGCCTGCACACCGAGAGCTCCCAGCACGGCACTCGCCCCTCTTTGTCTCTCCTGCTGCCGCCGCTCTGTCCCCTCTCTCCGTGCGCCTCCCACCTGCTGCTCCCCGCGTCTCCCACCACCACAACCACCGGCGTCGTCGTTGTTGTTGTTTGTTTAATTGCCGTCCCTGCTGCTGCTGCTGCCGCCTGCCCGCTACGAGGAGTGGCCTAGGCCCCCACACCTGTCAGAGTCCCTCTGCCCGCCCGCCCGACAGACTCGTCGTTATCGTTGTTGTTGTTGCGTCTCAGGGGGTCCGTCTCGCCCTGGCGCCTTGTCTCTGCAGCTCTACGGTGGTGGTGGTGGTAGTGGTGGTGCCTGTCCGAGTGTGTGGTAGTGGTGTCTGAGTGTGTGGTGGTAGTGGTGGTGATGGTGGTGGTGTCGCTGTTTAAATCTCTTTCGTTTGGTGTCCGAATGTGCCCCAAGCGTCTGTCTCTCTCAGGGTGTCTCTCTGTGTCGTCGTTGTGTCCCAGGGTCTCCGTCTGTCTCTCTCAGGGTGTCTCTCTGTGTCGTCGTTGTGTCCCAGGGTCTCCGTCTGTCTCTCTCAGGGTGTCTCTCTGTATTGTGGTCTGCCCGTCTTAGGTGTCCGTGTTACTCGGTCACTCTCTGTGTCTCGCCGTCTATAAAGCTCGAGATCTCAAAGGTCCAGTGTCCGTGTATGCGTCTTCGTCGATCTCAATGTACCCAGTGTCCTAGTGAATCAGAGTGCATGTATCTCACTATCAATGTCTATATATCTTCACCTCTCTGTACGCCACACAATCTCTATTCGTGTAGATCTCAGTGTCTCTGCGTGCCTCTGTACCTCAACGTATCATCACGAGTCTCTACGTCTCTCGCTCGGTCTATCTCTATCTGTGTCTGTGTGTGTCTCTGTCTCTCTCTGTCTCTATCTGTGTGTCTCTCTCTCTGTGTCTCTCTCTCTCTCTCTGTGTCTCTATCTGTGTCTCTCTCTCTCTCTGTCTCTATCTGTGTCTCTCTCTCTCTCTGTGTCTCTATCTGTGTCTCTCTCTACGTCTCTCCGTGTCAGTTGTTGCCCCGAGCACGTGGCCGACTCGCTGCCTGCGCCGATCGGAGCCGCGTTCAGTGCGCGCGGCTCAGTCTCTTTCTCTCTCTCCCACCTGCCCTCTCGCCCCTCTCTGCCCCTCGCTGCTCTTCGCCGTCCTGCCTGCCCTGGCTGCCCTGGCTGCCCTCTCCGTCGCTACCACCGCCGCCGCTGCTGCTGCTGCTACCGCCGCCGCTGACTCCCTGCCCGGCTCCTCTGTCTCTGCGCGTCGCCTCGGCCCCGGTTTCGCGCGAGGCTTGAAATAGCAGCCAGGCCCCGCCCACTTCTCCTGCGTGGTGACGTCAGCGCGCACGGCGCCCCGCCACGCGCTGACGTCACCGCGCACCCGCACCGACCCCACGCCGCGTGCGCGTTGACGTCACCGCGCACGCTCGTGTTGCCCTACGCTATTTGCATAAATAGTAAAAGCAGAACAAATGTATTCTGATCGCGCTTTTACAGTACAGGGCCCCAAACCTTATAGTTACAGGGTATCCATGGTTACAGGTCCTATATTTCCATGGTTACAAGCTCCCCCCCCCTCTCCATAGCAACAAGGCCTCATCCTTAATTGCCCATAGTAACAGGCCCCCAACCTCATCCATAGATACATGACCCTCTCCAAGGTTTTAGGGCCTTTATTTCCGTGGCTACAGAGACTCCATCTCAATGGTTACATGACACAAGTAACAGGACACAAGCTTACAGATATCTTTTTTTGTCCATAGCAACAAGGCCCCAGCCATATGCAGTGTAATGGGGCCTTGACCTGAGCGGTCGTTGCAGGCCCCACGGGGTAGATGCAGTGAAGCAGCTGGTGTGAACTGAGGTTCACATGGATTCCTGCAACCTCTGACCCCAACCACAGTAACAGGGTCCCTGTGAAAAGAGCTTCACGTCTCATCGGATTCCTCCGGTATAAATCAATGTTCTGATAGTGATGCTGACGTTAAGCGGGGCCCCTAGCACAGTAGCAGGACCTCCCCTGTGACAGGGCCTTCGCTCACACCAATCCGCCCGGCCTGCATGCCACCTCTGGGCCTTCGCCGAGGGTCGCCACCTTCCCCGGTTTCCCCAGAGGACCGTGCTCTTGTTCAGGAAGTGGCTTTTCTTGGGAACTCCGTAACTCTTCCCAGGGACATTAAGGTTGCTCGTTTTCTTTTCAGTCGCTTAATAATAATGAGACACCAGCCAGGATGTAGGAATGACGTGCACGACTGCTTGGTCTACTTCACCATCTCGCGACGAAGTCTGAAAACTCGTGGCACCTCGCGACAATAAAATGTGCAATTATAAAGCATTTAAATAGACCATGTATCAAGTCACTTGGCGCATATGGCCATGCACACATCTATAATGCTTTGAAGGAGGTGTTAGTTGCATATATTATTTTAAGCAGGGAAAGAAAGGGGGGGGGGTAGAATGCTTCAGGCGAGAGAAGGAGTGGAGGAAATTTAACGGGAGCAATGGATACTACCACATGCATAGGGAGAGACACTCATGGCTAGCCGTGATGTGCTGAATGAGAAACTGTTTCGCGGGACGTTTCGAGTTGCTCCGAGTATCTGCACTGGGGTGATGAATAACCAATTAGCACCGCCAAACGCGTGGCTCGTAATGAGCGGTGGGAGCGGCGGTGCTGGCGCAGTGAATTTCGGGACCTCGCCACCAATAAAAAGGCAGGGCCCTGGCGCGCAATGGTGCCTCGTGTGGTGCCACAATCATTGCGAGGTCAATGTGTTGCCTCAACACACCCTAAATGGAATATTTGGGAATTAGTAATCGATCAATCGATATCCTTTATTCAAAACCTGGGTGAATTTCTATTGAGGATCACCTTCTCTTTTTTGAGGGTGTGAATCAGAAAGTTGTTTTCAATCACTCTGCACTTTCAAATTCCTCTGATGATAAGTGTCCTTCACTCGGACAAAGACTATGATCCCTGTATAGCCTCACAGACCGTTGTAGAAAGTGTTGTTAGCAAGATCCTGCCAAGGCCGACACAGCACACAACAAAGCGGTGTGACTGGAGCCTTTGTCTCCCCAGTGCTGATGTCTACACATCACACGAGGTATCCATTTGAGGCTGACTTGACCTAGGGGAGGCTCAGGAATAATTCTGATAGCGCTTTCCATGGACGTTAGTCGTGTTTAGCAATCGAGCTGGGCCTGCTGGGTTCGCATTGCGGTGTGGGAACCATTGCACCACCGCTCCACACACACACACGGGTCCAGTGGAGTCAACAACAACAGCCATTCCCCACTAAGTGGCGGTGATGTCACCACAGCCCTTGTGCCAGGCGATGTGTACTTTAAGGCCACGTGAAGTGTCGAACGCCCGCTGGCAGAAGGTCACGGGACAGACCAAGCAGGTTCCATGGGCTGACTAAATGAGATGACTGGCCGATGCACCACCTGTACCCCCGACTGTTCCATCGTGCTGTGCTTTAGCCGCCCGGCGCTCCGTTCGTTGTTGTGGACATCGCTCCTCCGCCCTCCGTGTGCGACTGCTTCCAACTGCCCAGTAACGTCCTTCACGAGCCTCCTCCTCAGTGCAGTGTGGTTACACAAACACCGGGTCCAGGATGGTCACACACACACACGGACCGCTGCAGTGACCGCTCGAGATAAACCTGTAGCCCCCGTGGCATCTGGGACCCTGTCACCTCCTCGCTTGGCGTCTGTCGCATTGTAAAGCGGCGATCGTGGCCAAAACGCGGCACCCCCCTGGCTGGAAGTGCAGCACCCAGCCGGCCCTCCATCGCTGAGAGCCCTCGCAGGGAGCCCTTGAGGGGCTGGCTCAGGGAGCGAGGGGGTCGAGAAGGGGGTCGTCGTGTAGAGTTCTACAAAGCCGGGCTAATTGGTCAGGTACAGCACGGCGCTTCGACACGGATCAACCCCGTGAACACAAACTGGACTCTGACGTCACAAGGAGAACGTTTGGACGTCAATTGAATTCAGGCAACACGCATATTTTGTCACCTGTGTAGTCCCCGCAAAAATCATACATTTATACAAAATATACATGAACAAAGAATTACGCCTCCTTCACATATTTGTTTCTCCACATAATGAAAACAACCTTTTTTTAAAACACATCCCATCGGCCGCACGGCCTTCTAGCAGAGCATTTTCTCAGCGAAGTTACTTTAACACCGTGCAGTAAGCACCGCACCGGTTTTTATAATTTCACATTTTACTCAGCGCTTTGGCTGGAAGGCCGCGCAGAAAGAGAACGCTGCTGTTGCCGGAGAAAGTTCGACCTCTGGCACACAGGAGGAAGAGCAAGAACTGTGTGGCAGGGCGCGCGCCGTGCGGCAGAGCTCTCGCCACGGCGAGCCCACGTCTCTTGACCACGGTGGGGCTTATTTTAGTGACGGCACTTGAGGACTGCAATGGTGATGGTTTCTGTTGCTGTATTATAATTTCTGTTTCCCAGAGGTGTCGCATAATTGCAGTGTTGTCTATACATAAGTAAAGTTGCATTGCCTCTCTGTTTTCCCAGAATTTCTGCTTGCATGGCTGGTATCTTATCGGCTCGGGAAGTCGTGTGGTGAGATTAAAACAAACCAGGTCTCCACTTTGTGTTTCGGGGAAATCTCGTGCATAATCACACACAAACCTACATCACCTAGGTATCGTATTAATTAACAGCTCAAAATAAAACATATTTATGGAACTACTTTGGCAGTGGTGCGCAAGCACAGAATGTAAATGCAGTACCGCGTATGATATAATGAGTTTTTAGTCCCAGCTTCATTTTGTAACTGTTATTTACCACCTCCTAATCCCACATTGAGATTTAAAAAATCTATTATATTGCATCTCGTTTGTATTATTTATCTTTATTTATTCGATGCATGCCTTTTTGTTCACTCCAACAGCCCAAAAGTAGCATTATTTGCGTAAACTGCACGTAAAACATTCTCACAATTCAATGCATTTAGCATGAGCGTAGTAACACATGGGACCGACGGCTGTAGCGCAAAGACCAGTCTGGCCGTGGCCACCCTGCCAGTGTTTGCCCAGGAGCCAGACGCCGTTACATTCCGTTACCCGCCCGGGTCCAACCGTGCCCCCCCCTTCTCTGCTCGCCCGCCACTCTTTGTGCTGGCAGCCCGGCCCAGTGCGTGCGGGGACGGCCGCTTCAAACGGCGCAGAGCAAACACTCTCCCGGTGTGCGCGTAGGTGCGTGCAGGTGCGTGCGTTTGTGTGGGAGGAGGAAGAGATGAGGAGGGGTGGGGGGAGGGAGGCTTGGCTCATTCATCAACAATGCTGAAAAATTACATTGCATCGTAATGGGTTGTCAAGTGCACACACACACACACGTGCATGTTTATTTTTCAATGCAAAGTCAAAAGTGAGTTCCTGCTCAAGTGAGCATTGTTTAGACGGTGCTCACTGCCTGCTAACAGCGCTGAGCCAGTGGAGGAAACTGCACATTCCCATGGCAGGGTCAATTATCTCCATAGGGCAACCACTGTCGACTTCGTCTCAAACTGGTGCCCACTCTAGCAGCCCAGGAGGGATGATGGGCTGAGTCAACCCCCAGGCTGGATGTGAGCTCGCGACCTGGGAGAGCCGTGCGTCCCCTGCAATGAAGTCGCCTGCGACTTTCCAAACACATTCTGACGAGGCTCCAACATCAGGTTGCCATTACAATGGAAACATCGTTCTTAAAAAAGAAAAGGTTTTGAGTAACTTTTGTGTCCCTATAAATACGTGTACACGTACACACACAACCATGATCATTGTCAGCCCTGATCTGTCCACTGCTGGATGAAGGCCCTCCGTGTGCCGGCGAGAGATATGCACGAGGTTTGATCTCCCGTTGTGTTCTCCACCCCTCGCACCTCCGATTAGCACGGTTGGCTACGTACGGCGCGAAAGAGGTTCCACGTGCGTACGGATATAGCGAGAACCACGTGTTGTTAATAACCAGATGCACAGGAGAAGGTGTGGAAACGAGTTCGCCGTTCGCCGCCGTAGAATTCATCTCCATAGAAGCTGTCGAACGGCAGGGCGAGGAAACGCGCATCACACAGCAGAAGCTGGTGGCGAGGTGAAACGATGCCCTCTCCGCCGCCAAAGATTCGTCGGCATGAATAGCGCTGTTTGCTTTGACGAGGGGCGGTTTCCTGTTTGTCAATGTTTCGTGAAAATAAAAAAAACCCACGGAGGTGACATTTTCAAGAGGCGGGAAGAGAGGCGCCAATCTTACACCCACCCACACCCCACTCACCCCACTCACCCACCCACACCCCACTCACTCACCCACCCACCCTCCACTCACCCACCCCACTCACCCCACTCGCCCTCACGCACCGGACCTCCCCACTCGCCGAGCCCCTCGCCCCCAGCTCACACCGCCACCACCACCACATCACCAAGCCATTTATGGCGCACGGCGGCTAAAAACAACGCAACACGGCCAACGGACCTGCCATAGGCAGCCTCCCTCGCTCCGTGCGCGGCTGTGTTTAACAAGGGCGGCAGGCCGTGCCGAGTGCGCGTGTGTGTGCATGGGGGGTGTGTGTACATGGGGGGTGTGTGTACATGGTGTGTGTGTACATGTGGTGTATGTACATGGGGTGTGTGTGTGTACATGGGGTGTGCGCGTGTGTGTACATGGAGTTTGTGTGTGTACATGTGGTGTGTGTGTACATGTGGTGTATGTACATGGGGTGTGTGTGTGTGTACATGGGGTGTGTGTACATGTGGTGTGTGTACGTGGTGTGTGTGTACATGTGGTGTATGTACATGGGGTGTGTGTGTGTACATGGGGTGTGCGCGTGTGTGTACATGGAGTTTGTGTGTGTACATGTGGTGTGTGTGTACATGGGGTGTGTGTACATGTGGTGTGTGTGTATACATGGGGTGTGTGTACATGGGGTGCGTGGCGATTATCTGATCCGGTCCTGGGCCTCCCCTAGGTCGACTCAGCCTCAAATGAGTACCTGGTGCTATGTGTAAACATCGCCATTCGGGAGACAAAGGCGGCCGGGCGTGGTGTTGGCCACCCACCCCATCGTGTACCGTGCCGGCCTTCATAGGTGCTCGCGAATAGCACTTGCCCCTACACAGTCTGTTAAGGCTACACGGGGATCTTTGTATTTGTGTGCGTACATGTCGCGTGTGTGTCCGCGTGATGATAGCCTTAACAGACTTGTTGGGGCAAGTTCTGTTAGCGAGCACCTATTAAAGCACACGGGTGGGTGGCCAGCTCCACGCCCGACCGCCTTTGTCTCCCGAGTGGCGATGCGTACCTGGTGCGGTGTTTGCGCACCGCACCAGGTCCGCATTCGAGGCCGAGGCTGCTGCCATGCCTCGTGTCAAACAGGGGCCTCGCAACACAACGGCCCATTGTTATGGCCAGAGCTGCCAGTTTACAATGCTGGCGTGAGGGTGATAACGTCCATCTATTACAGAGAGGAGAAGTCTATCTCTCTCTCTCTCGAGAGAGAGAGAGAGTTGTGTTTTACCCCAAGGGTGTTGGACTCGCGACCCCAAGGCGCCGGTTTCTATTCTATCTCCCGGCGCGGCATATGAAACAATGGGGGCGGGTTTATTAACCCCGGACTGTGTCCACCCAGCATGTCTGCTCAGTGTGGAAGAGTAAGGTCAAAAACCCTCTGCATGGGCTCGATATGAATGCATGTTTGTCTAGCACTTTTAACACGAGTGAATCGTAACAATGTTAATGTACCATTGTATTGAGGGACTTGATAAATCGGAATTATGTGACTTGTCCACCATTTTCTCAATGTTGCAATCCTATTGTGTTTGTATTGTTTGCTGTTGTAACTTGCTAACTCGCCCCATACTGGCCATCTGTGAAAAGAGCTTCATCGGATTTCCAGCAGTCTAAATAAAGATTGTGATTCTGAACAGTAATTAATATTAATTTCAAATTCATAAGGCTCCCTCAAATGATGGATCTCAGAACGCCATAATCGACACCTTACAACGCATCCGCGGATCAATTAGAATTATTATGATGCACACTTAAAATCACGCATCTAAGCATTGATTTATAATCCATTCGGATGCACGTACTGTATTTTGAACTTCTTTCGCACCGGACGTAGCCCACCGTGCTCATTGGAGGCGCAGTTACATCCAGCAGCCAATCGAGGCTGCTACATTCACCACAATGCAAAACAAATATTCCATATTAGCTCCGATACGGTCGTCACATCATTGATTCTTGAATGAAATCGTGACCGTGAAGTGTGGCAATTCATTGACTCGTGAACGAGGCAAATCGATCCGTGCCCCAGTTGATATGCACGGCACAGCGCGGCCGCGCGGGCCTGGGGCACGTGTGTGGCATCGACTGTAAAACGACACCACGATTACCCGAGCGATAGTATCACCTTCACAGCACGTGGGGTGTTATCACCTGTACGTGTGTAACACGGAGACACAGAGGCACAGAGGCCACATCGCCCCAAAGATTCACGACGTTGGCTTGCGAGAGCGTCGTGGTGGCGGGATAGGGCAGTCGCCGCTGGGTTCGAATCTGTGGTTTACTGCTCAATCGCCGGGGATTGAACCCGGTCCCCATGTGTCGTGTGAGTTGATGATCTCAGCCTGATCACCAATGACTGTACAAATATAGCGTCACATAAAACACAAACTGGGTTCTTCACTTAATTTGGCAATATTTCAGCTCTAAAAATAAAACATCGGTTTGGCTGTCATGCGACGAACATTATTACTCTCATGTGCAGAGCAGGTGGGAAAGTGCTGCCCGAAGCTGTGTGCACGAGGTGTCACTTGAAGGGATCTCAGAGGTAGTTCTGTGATATCCACTTCCTGCTCGACGATTGATTATCATGTCTCCGCGGCATCTCGACCATCACGTTGGACGGAAATGACGAAAGGCGAATGATTTAAAGGGAGCGCGCGTTACGCATGAAGTGCAATTTCACGCTGACGAGGTTTGGCACTGCAGGGCGTCACTCGAGGAGAGGGCCTTACTCCAACGGCGTTGTCAAGATACTCGGGGCGTTTTCTGCTCGGTACACAAATATTTAACGTGCGTCCAAATTGCCTCTAACCATCAGCGAGGGTAAAATATATCAAATCATAAAGCGACAATAAATAAAAGATTGCATTCATATACAGTATAGGGAACAAATATTGATAGCGGGAAAAAAACAATGCAACGTGGTGAGTGGCAATGTGGTCCCATAGCGGGAATGGATGGCAACTGCCCATAAAATCGGTCACAAAACAGCTGATGAGACCCACAATATCAAAACGGATGGCTTGTGCTGTGGTCGCTCATCCCAGCGATCTCCAGATTGGGATGTTCCGTGATTCGACGAGATGGGGTCATCAGCAGATCGTAAAACGATACGCCTTATAACAGACATCATCATTTCAATGCATTCCGAAGTTTCAAGCTATGTGCTTTAAACTTCGGAATGCACGGAACCTTCTTAAAAAGTAATTCTCGAGATAATAACTCGTGTGTACGTCAGCGTGTGTGCGATGATGGTCGCGAATCTTACACGCGCCCCTTCCACTTGATGTGCTGGAAACAGCTCGCGCCTGTGTTATTTTTCCACCACATAAGAGAGCGATTGTTCCAATTAACGGCACACATCCCTGTTGTGTTAACCACGTCCTGCGCACGGGGGGAGGGGGGATGGGGGCGACGCCACGGGGGGGGGGGGGGAACCTCGTCCCACGCCATTCCGTGGGGATGTGACAGGAATGGCGGTGAGCGTCACCGGTGAGTGAAGTTGCGATGTTCACAGACCGAAACTCTGTTGTGCAGACCGCCTGCTGCACAACAGGTTGGCTTGTGCAGCAGCAGCAGTCGCGGCAAAGACAGTCAAACACCCCGTGCAGCAGCACGCAATTTCATCCGAAAATTTCTCGGAGGTCAGCAAGTTTGAGCCTCGTCAGTTTCCGACTTGCATGGGACACTGCCTGGATGTACCTGCAGGTGTTGCAGGCTTTTGGGCCGCGAGGTGGCAGTACAACGATGGATAAATACATCCATCTATGCGGAGCTTTGAGTGATGATCCGATGTGTGTAGTTTTTCTCCGACTGCTTTGGGGTTCTCCCCAACAAGGTGCTCACTCTCGGCTGGAATGGTCCAGAACTCCGTTCCGGGAATTATCCTGGCACCACCACTGCATCCATCTCGCCTAATTGATGCCCTCACGCTACGGAATCCACCAACAGCGGCATTTTAGAAACCTGTTCATAGGGTGACGGGAATACAGGGTGCAATGATACGGGGTTATGATGGACAAGGCATATCCTACTCTCGTGGTAGTGCCTTACGCTGATAATCCTCACTCTGAGCGAGAAGATCGCGTGAGAAGTCCTGCTCTGCACAACGTAATCGCCCAAACATCTCAATGTAGCAGAACCCCTCCTGAAAAAAAAGTATTGAACCTCAGCGAGACTTTCCCGGGGCAACTAAAGGGGATCATCACTTCTGAGTATCAAGCGCGATACAAGGGGCATTCCTCCTGAACACACGCGCAGTGATCCGAGGCGGGAATGCGCCGCGCTCCACTTTGCCAGCACGCGGGGAGTGCCCCCGACAGGGCCGCCGCACTTCCAGCAAACCGCGCACAGGAGCGCAGGTTCGGTGTGCGAGACGACCGCCGAGATGGAGCAATGAAGGAGGACAGCCTTGGACGATAAAGTCGAGAGGGCGAGTTTGTACAGCAGGTTCAGAGGTCAGCAGCGACGACTGGGCGAGTGACGAGTTTAGCAAGATCATAATTTATTCAATGAGTTAATTACAGAAGCTGCAAGGTCATCAGATGCCCGATGTGGCAACGTCGCCCCCTGGTGTCAAAGATCCGCAATAACGTGTTATTGCGGGCACACAACGTTAGACCAACACGGAACAATTACACTCTGAAATGGCTGAATAGTGTTAACAAAAACGTGTTATTGTATATTACTATCTAACATGAGAATTATAAAATGACTGCATAAATTAAATATATTATTTTTAGAACAATTCAATGTTCCCCGTTATGAACATATCAACCAAAATCAACGAAGTTCTCAATCCGTCGCTAAAATGTTTTAAGGCAACCGATGTTGTTGTGGCGCAGCATGGTGGTGGTAGAGTGCTTTGGGACTCTGCTGTCCCGTGTGAGCACGACGACGCCCGCGTGTTCGTATTGATTTAGTTCCTGCGAAGACGTCACTACAGGAAGATTTCACATTTCAGTGAATCACATTAGTTTCAAGTGCTTTTTCAACATTAAAATTACTAACGCGAAAAAAACAAAACAAGACGGCCCAACGCGTCCATGAGCCAGCCGCGTTAGACACAGCCTAACGCAGGAATTAAACTCTCCCCACACAAGCTCCCCTTTTGCCACCAATTAGATTGGCCCCCAACTGTGAATCTTCGTCAAGTGAAAATGTATCTAAGCATGCAGTGTGTCTTCTCCATGGTGTCACAGCTCAAGATATTTGCGTACTTGCTACACCTGCTGCTCCGTGCCTTCCCGCCCGCCGTGCAACCGGTGGCATCAATGTTGTCAATCGTACAACTGGATTCTAATACAGTGCAGTATTTATACGGAGCTATTAAATCAGTTAATGTGCAGGTGCTATAGTGAATTATGACATCAAAGGATCAGGAGAGGTTGCACAAAATAATCTAAATCCCAAAGGTCAAAACCCAATTTCCATTTAGCCATGGAGGAAAACAACCTTCAGCAGACACAATATATAATAACAAATTCGTTAGTGAAAACCAGAATGAGTTTTTGATAATAATTAAGATTACCACCTGATAATGTAATTACATATCAGGTCATTACCTTCTTGCTTCCAATATGGAATTTGCATTTGGCCAGCATGGAAGAGTAGGCCAAATACTCTAAAGGAGGCTCTCTAGAGCTCCCTCGAGTGGAAACCCTTCCACCCGCATCGGCCTGAGCGAGCAATTGCAGGGCTGCTCCTTTAACTTCACGTCAGAAGAAAAAAACTGGCAATGTCGCTGCTGCTGCTGTAATGTCAAATATTTAGTTAAGAGCCACAGCTTACGCGTGTGTGGCTGCGCGTGACAGCGTCTGGTGACAGTGCCCGGGTGGCGTGAATGCCACGCGAGGCAGTGGTGGCATTACTGTGGCAGGGCAGGCTGCTCTAAGCCATCAGGAAGCAGGCCGGATGGCTCGAGTTGTATGGCATGGCACAGACGAGTGCTGCATCGGGTCGGGTCCCCACCGGTATCCGCGGGTGACCCACAAAGCCGATCGGAACTCAGCCGGTTTTTTTACGAATCGCCGTTCTGGCGCAGGTCGGGGACGACACGAACATGACACGACATGAGCCCGATCCTGGCCCTCAGAGACAATGGCGCATGGCGTGCCGTGGTTGGCATCACGAGAAGTGCTACACACTGGTGGTGTGACCACGTGGTGCAAGGGCATGGAACATCATCACACGGTATAAAACACCAGCGCTGTGTCACAGGGTTTCCTAAACTGTAAGTCCACAGCCCGTCTTTTAATGGTGACCAATCTCTGCAGCACTTCAAACCAAGTTGTCTCCAGCTGCACGTGCCTAATGATCAGTAAGTAACGACGACCGCCATTCGCCACTAAATGGTGGTGATATCACCACGGCGCTTGTGCCAGGCTAGGTACACTTTGAGGCCACGTGGAGCATCGAAGCCTCTTGCTTGCAGGTCTTGCAACAGGCATAAGCATTCGGGGTTAGCCGAGTGAGATGACAGACACACCACCTGTGCTCCGCACTGCCACAGCAGATGCGGCGGGTTGGTAAACAGCGCACGCCATCTCCACACGCAGGATATCGATTTGAATTGGCACTCTCTCGCACCACGTGGGATGGGTTTACAATCATCAGTCGGATGCAGCGCGTAGGAACAACTTAAAGTGCATTCGAACGAAGATTGGTAGATGTTAAAAAGAAGACCACGGACAGGCATGAGGACTGGAGTCTGGGAAACCCTGCTGGTGAGATGTTAACTACCTCGCCTGGCATGCAGAAGGTCGTGGATTCGATCCCGAGCCTGATGCCTGCTGCTGTATATTTGGAGTTTTAATGTTCTCCCCGTGGTCACTTGGGCTTTTCTCCAGGTCCTATGGTTTTTCCCTCCACATTTAGAATCAATGTGCATTTAGAATATTTGGCCGTGATACATTTCCACATGATGATAAGTCACTTCGTTGATCTATTATTTGTGGCCAGGTCGCTTCTGAAAAAGAGCTATCAGTGGGCCTGAGCTGGTAAAATAAAAAATAGTTTAGTTCGGTAGTTTATTTGGCTGTGACACAGCAAACCGGTCAAGGTCATCTCGTGTTTTCTGACTAAAAGATCACATCAGCAACACGTGCGGACCACAGTAGTTGCTGACAGACCATCATTGGGTTACCACTGGCTTGGTATTGCACGGCTCAGCGCCGGAGATGCCATTGGAGGGGGGAGGGAGCGGGGCCTGGCGAGCCGCTCGTCAACAATCATGGACGCTTGTTGTAGATGAGGAAGTCGGTGAGGTCGGTCCAGTGATCGCTGTCGCGGTACAGGTAGGTCATGGAGGACTGAAGCGAGGGCTGCAGTGTGTGGCGCTGGTGCT